AGGTCGGACAACAGATAGGGCTGGCTATATCTTAATATCGACGTTTGCTATCTATCTGAGACCCGTATTCAAGACTGTGGTGAAGTACTACAAATTCTCTATCCATCTGTCGCTTCAAAAAACCTGTTCTACGTGCGCTTATCCTGGGACCCTGTGGCATCTTCGTCTTGTGTTGCGTGAGTTGGTGTCACACTAAGCACTAGAGCTGAGTATAACCAGTGACTGTGCTTGACTCCCATAGCTGTTCTTTTGGCTTAAATTGTTTCCCTTTTCAAAAAAGATCATTTCAATCTTATCCACTTGATCCTCAAGTGTTTCTAAATCTTCGATTATCATTTGTTGCCATTATTATAATTATTTTGTGGTGCGTTCTAAAGAAAGTGCATTCGACAGATATTGTATTACTAGCCGGAGACTTGAATGCTCAGGTCGGGCGTCTAGACACAGAAGAGAGTCGTTTAGGTGGCCGATGGGGATTTGTTGATCGCAGTACAGATAACGGGGACCGTCTACTGCAAGTGTGCACAGACCACAACCTGTTTCTGGCTAGCACTAACTCTGCATCTCAAGCCTGGACTCAGATTGATCACATAGCGCCAATCTTACCTTATTTTTCAGTGGCCAAAAAAGTGACCGCCACCAAAGGATTGATGTCAGCAAGTTGTTTGCAACGTAATGAAATTGAGCAAAGCTTGTGTAAGGATCGAGAAGCCTGTTGGTCGGAGCTTGCGAATGAGTTGGAAGCAGCAGCTGCATCTGGTAACTACCAGAAGCTCTTTCAATTCATCCGAGCCACTGGCAGCAAGAAGTCTGGTGTGAGCGAAACAATCTGTGAGGATGACGGGATGCAAATCACTAACGTCCAAAGACGTTTTGGACGATGGGCAGAATTCTTCGAAGGGCAGTTCAGCTGGGCTACTGCTCCGGCAACATCGGTCAGATTGGCCCGCCCTCCATGGTCGATGACGACTGATTCACCAAATCAGGCGGAAGTCCGCAAGGAACTCCAATTTTACAAATCACCGGATCCAGATGACTCACAGCCAGCCACTCCTAAAGATGATGGCGCCCTTATGATTAAGGAACTGACTGTGTTGTTTACAGAGGTCTGGCCATTAGAGTGCTACAACATCATGGAATGGGTCGATAGTTTTTCCTATCTTTAGAAAAGGTTCATGTCGTTTCTCTAACAACTATCGGAGGATAACTGTACTTCCGATTGCGTCCAAGCTATTGACTTCCGTCATACTTCGTAGGCTGTTCAAAACACGAGAAAGATTGACTCGCGAGGAGCAGGTTGTTTTTCGTTTTGGTTCGAGGATGTATTAATCATATCTTCACCCTCTGCAAAATGTTAGAACACCGCCATACTTATCAAATGCCAACAATCGTAGTGCTTCTTGACATCAGGGCTGCCTTCGATTCGTTGGATAGGACTGTTCTCTGGGATTGTCTATTGAAGAAGAGTGTGCCTGAGAAGTTTATTAACATCCTAAAAGCCCTATATACAAACACCTCAGGCAGAGTGAGGGCATACAACCACCTCTCTCCATTGTTCCACGCAAGCATTGGGGTTAGGCAGAGTTGTCCCATCTCACCATTCCTCTTCAATGTTGCCATCGATGACATTCTGGAAACAGCTCTGATGGATGTAAGTAATGGCGGTGTGGATCTGTTGTCTGGAGAAAGACTTCTCGACCTCGAGTATGGGAATGATATTGTCTTACTGTGCGATAATGCCCAAGCCATGCAATCCGCTCTTAATCAGTTGGCAATCAGTGTCCGTAGGTATGGTATGTGCTTTGCACTTTCGAAGTGCAAAGTACTTCTACAAGACTGACAAGATTCTAATCCTGTACTCACCCTGGATGGTGAGCAGATAGAAGTAGTCGAGAAGTTCGTGTATCTAGGTAGCTGCACAAGTGCTGGTGGGGGTGTGAGTGATGAGATCAATGCACATATAGTGAAAGCCAGAGTGAATTATGACAATCTGGGACATCTTTGGCGCCTTCGTGATGTTAGTCTGGCTGTAAAAAGTCAGATTTACAATGTGTCGGTGAGGGCAGTTTCTCTCTATGCTTGTGAAACCTGGCCTCTTGGAGTTGAGGATGTTAGACGGATCTCTGTGTTTGATCATTGTTGTCTCCGAAGGATTGTAGTGAACAAGAACACCAGTGGGGAACGATAGAATGTGATTATCACAAAATTAAAGGACTTGTTAATAAAATCTATCTTATAGTAAAGGCTTAATTTGCAAAATGTCCATCAGTTGTCTCAAAATGACTCAGACTTCATTGCTCTTGCATTTTCATACAAACTGCATTCTGTTCCCATTCTTTACTGGTCGATACTCTTGTCTCTCTGCTGCCAGACCTTCTGTTGACGAGTAACGTCATATACTATTTATGGCAATACAAGTAGCACACACCACACTGACATCCAGTGGCAACACCATGTTAGTAATGCAGAGGTTCTGCATCGTATGATCGGGCACAGAGACGATAATTCAATTGGTGTCACCATCTTGAAACATCTACTTCGGTGGCTTGGATATGTTCTACGAATGTCATCTCAGAAAATTCCACGTCGTGCATTGTTTGCCGATTCTGGGACTGGTTGTAGGAAAGGGAAATGTGGTCAGTGTATGATATGGTGTTGTGGTATGAAAGAAAGCTGCAAATGATTGGCTTCTGTTGGTACTTCACGACTCCCTGGTTGGGTTCCGAGAGATAGTGCGACACAGTGGCTAGAGACGTTATCAGAAATGGCTCAGAATAGAAGCCAATGGAGATCATGTTGTAACCTCCTTTTACGTTTTTCGTAAACAGTGGTCGTATATTCCTTAACTGAAAGATTCCTTCTGATTGTACCATTCCGTTTCCCCCATTATTATTATTATTATTGCACTACCTTACGCTAATCTGGTAGTTATTGTTCTTCTTTTTCTTCCTTTACGCTCCTTACCTTCTTCTTTTCTTTTCCAGTTCTCATTGTTTTGTGTTGCGCATATATAGTTGGTGCCCTCTTGTACCAATATTTATGTGTTCAAATAAATAAATAAATTATGTGACGTTCAATAGAATTCACTCTGAGGACAGCCTAACAACAGTGGAACTAGTTTAGAAAAGCAATCAGTTTATGTGATAACTGTATGTTACTAAATTAACACGAGTTGTTTCAACATAAATCCCCCAACTGAGTTAAACAGATCAAATAGATCATTGGTGATTCTATTAAAGTTATTTTTCCTATATAAACAGTAAAGTGTATTTTGTAAGAACTAGAATCTCTTTATAGGTATCACTGCCAAGGTTGGACTCGATAATTTCAAATAAATTGAACATCGGGTAGGAAGTTAATAATAAATATATTATTTCTTATATTCCAATGAGTAGAAATGTTGCTTTTCTGATGCATTATTTGCACTATTTAAACTTGTGTTAATTTAATCTGAACGACGAAAGCTTCACAACCAAACCTTCCAGCTCAGAGAACGAAACTCCATCAAAAACATTAATATTACATATTTCTTGATGTCTCAACAATATTTAGGCTCAGTGGTTAACAAATGCAAATAGAAATGAACTTGAGTTAGAAATCCCTACTTATTTTCTATCCACTATTCTTAGATGTAGAGAGCATATAAAAATATAGTGAAAAATAGAAGAAATTTACTGTTGTTCTATCGTGATCAGATATTTTATTAACAGAAACAAAGAAGAGAATATAATAACGATAGGAGGAGAAAAAATATGGTTAAGATAAACTAAATAAAAGGTTGATAATTTTACAGAGCAAAAAATTCTACATAATAATAACAAGTGATTTGCAGAAATGAATTATTAAAGTGATTTCCATTAAACCTCATTAGATATTCAACCTATTATTAATGACAAAATGATTGGTTATGATAAGACAGCTTTATAATTCTAGGAACAGTAAGATAAGTTTGTAGTTGGTTAAGTAAGATAACTGAATCAATCAGGGGAGGTGGGTCGAGGGGAAAGACAAATGCATATTATCACTATTTCTAAATTAGGTATTCTGTTGGATTTTAATTCAACTGTTAAATATGATACACATAGACTTGTGTTTTCAACAACTTTTTGTCATTTAATAATGACTCTCCTATTACATTAATGAATAATAAACGAGTTAGGTGAAAGAACAAGATACATATAGAAATATAGAGATATAATTCTATATAGAGATATGATTCTGTAAGCCAACTTTTGTCGATTTGAGTGTGTACACACTGAGAAGTAAAAGAAATATCTTACAAATAATTGGAAATAAACCATTAGAATAAAATATTATCAACTATGCTTTATATATTTAACTTTTATCTTCAATGTATAATTTTTAGTCTAAAGAATGATTTTTAAATGTTATCTAGATACAGAGTACGACAGCAATACCGACTTCTTTCATACATTAATTCATATAAAAAATAAGAGAACACTGAATAATCAATTGAAAGTAGTATACTGCAATAACATGAGTGGTTGAATATAATGACAAAAGACATATTGGTCAACTCGACTATTGTTTACAGTACACAGTTAAATTACATAATTAGATCATTGAAGTCTGATTCATTCAGTTATTATTCTAAATTACCACAACGAGATCAAATTATCAAGATGAATAAAGTAGTACATGTAGTTGTAGTATAAGTGATATTCCAACTAATGCAGTTCAGTCTCAAAGTAAGTGACATTATAAACTGGCTTTGTGTCTTGGTTTGGTTACTATCTGGTCAATTAACATATTTAGACATGTAGAGAGAGTAACTAATACCAATTGGAGAATCATTGAAAACCAGGGTGTATTGAACAGTTATCTGTTCAATAAAAGATGGGATTAGGGATTGTGTACTCATAACTCCACGAATAAATGGATTAATCATAAGATAATCTTAATAGTGAAATATTCCAAAAGAAAGTGATAAATGTAGCCTAATATTTTTTCGAAAAATAAACTAATATATAGATACTTACTTTCTGGGTTAAATCAATGAAGCCTGAAGAATTCATGGTACATGTAGGTAAATGAGAATGACTTCGACAAACCAAAGAATCATTGAAAGGTAGATTAACCATACTTGTGTATGTATCCGTAGATATGTCGGTAGATGAAGAAGTAATATTCATAATAGAATTGGTAGTATTATTAACAGAAGATTTAATTGAAACTGAATTCACAGAATCAGTGATGATGACAGGAGTTGTTGTTAAACTACAAATAACAGTAGAACTACTGCCGGAAATATCGATATTTGAATGATCAATAGGCTTAAGTGATGTTTGATGATAAATTGGACTTGAAGAAGAACAAGAGTTAACCGATGAAATATTGTATGAATTAGTTCTAGAATCATTTTGACAATTCGAATGCTTTGATATTGATGATGATGATGACGATGATGTTGATAAATGATCATTCTCAGTGCTCATTTCTTCAACTGACGATACAGGTTTCAGATTAAATATATTTTGAGAACTGCAATGATCAAAGTTTGAAAAGAACATGACATAAAATAAACATTTTTATGAAACTATATTTGATAAATGAGTATTTATAATAAAAATGAAATGAAAACTGTCTATAGTGAGTTTTTATGCCACCATTCTCAATTCCTTTGAAATCTAACAGAGATCATCAATCAACAACAGATAAGAACTAAGAAAAAAATGCATTAAATAGACGATAGAAACTAATACAAACCTTAAACAATAGAAGAATAACAAGGTTTGCACAGTAAAGTTAATTCCTTTTATCCTGGAAACCTTGTTCTTGTATTATTTAAATGTATCCAGGGGACAGGATGAATGAAATACAAACTTTATTAACAAATAATCTCTATTAATATTCATGAAAGTAGATTAGATAAGGTACATAGCATTCGTTAATAGGTAGTCATTCAGTCCTAATGTCAATGTAATTGTATATACTAAGATACATCTGAATTAAATTAATAAAGAACAAGAAAGACTTAAGGAAAACACTTTTTCTAAGCTGATCAGACAGCCACTATTACAATATTCATTTTTGACAATAAAGATTACCAAAGATGTAGTTACCATAATTATTGTTTTTCTTTAAAAGAAGGTTAGGGCTAGTATTTTAAGGTGTTATCGTTAATTGAATAACGATATCCACTTTACTCTAAATTATGTTATCAAATGTTAGAATTACCTACATGGTGTTGACACCGATAACGAGCAATCTGATAGAAGACAACCATGATAGAACATAGATCTGCTCTATTCAAATTCATTTAGATCATAGACAACGAAGGACTGAAAGTCAGGCAATCGGTCACAATGTAGAACCTGGTACGTCTGAAAGCTGACCTTTATAATTAAAAACAATGATTAACTTTTAACTATTACTTTAGCTACTTCTGTAAAACCATGTTCAAAACGTAAATGAAACTATATTACAATTTTGTTAGCCAAGCATTTCACTGGTACTATAATGAGAAATTCACTCCGTGAATGTTATAATATTTTATCAAAATTTTTCATGAAATAAACTTATAAGGTTGTATGTGTAGTTGAGAACGCAATGAATGTATTGTAATTGATTAAAAAATTATCATTCTTGTTTAATTTTTCTAAGAAATTAAAAGTAAGTGGGACTTAGTGAGAAAGGAGATTTAACTACAGATCCTATTAAAACCTTTAAAATATAACTGTTAAGTGATGAAATACAATAGAAAACGGGATATGTTGCTAGTTGGCTAGCACACAAATAAATGATTTCCGATTGAAATATACACACTAGAACCATGTTACTTTTTTGTTAAACCTCTACGAAATTTCCCATTTGCCTCCCTCGCCACCAGAAAAAAATTATAACGAAAAACAGACAAAAAGTAACCACCTTATCTTTGCTTTCTCATTGTTAAAGTTGATCAGTCTCTAGTGGCATGAGTAAATCTTGAGCGGATTATCTCCTTACTAACATCTAGTGACAAGTTATTTAGTTAATTTGAAAAGCGGCAAAAGTGGAATCTAACATGCGCATTACTTCTTTTTTGGAACTCATTAGATATAGATAGATGCACTTGTATCCCAGTGTTGATGTTAATACTGAGTAAATCAGTTTGCTTCATACACTGTCACATTATCCACTAAGTCAAGAGATTTATGACTTGACTAGAAATCACTTAGTACTATTATTATTATTATCTTGAACATACTAAGGTATTAATTTTAATTAAATAGGAAATAAACTTATCTACTACACCGATACATGTCATTGTAAAACACCAATTGTAGAACAGGCTAAGTGTATTCAACGTGTAATCAAAAGTCAACACTCCATTACTAAATAATACAGAAATTCTCAAACAATCACTTGGTTGAACTTATTTATTCATTTATTTAAACACAAAAATATTGGTACAAAGGGGCACCAAATACACATGCGCCACACAATAACAATGAGAATGTGAAGAGATAGAGAACATAAAGTTAGTATAAGAAAAAGTAAGACAATAACGAACATAAATTAGTGTATAGGAATGAAATAACAATAGTAAAAAGAGAGGCTGTTCGGTTAACAAAAGTACAATAAAAAAGAATCCTTTCAGTTAAAAAAAGTTACGTTATTTTTTTTATGAAGAAAGTAAAAGAAAGTTACAGCACGATTACCACTGGCTTCTATTCTGAGCCATGTCCGATAACGTGACAAGCCACTGTGTTGCACCATCTCTATGACCCCTTGTATTCACTAGTAACAAACTTTAAGATGGAAGTCTGGGCGGAAAGTCTCGAGGATTGGTGGAATGAACACAATCTGGTAACACTGAATTACTTCCACGTTACGTCATTAGTTAACTACAGTCGAAAAATGTTGGTAAATTAAATACTAACTTAATGATAGGATGATATTCTATTCACTATGAGACCCGTTGATTCTCGGTTAAATATAGAGGGGATATGAATGTACATTGCTAAAAAGTTTCAAACTAGAAATTTTTATTCAGATTTTCACTGACGAAAATTCATCTAATATGTATGTAAAATATGTAAACTGTAAAGTATGTTTTGAGAAATAGGAATGAACATGAAGAATAACATGCTGCAGACATACTGATTTTACCGTTTTTATCTAAATGCTTAGGATTTAGTCTTTCAACGACATAAAAAAAGGAGAATACTACTGTGAAAACACGTTTGTACGTGCATTTCATGTAAACTTGTCGCAAATGCACAATATTTATTTATTGAGAAGAGAAGCTAACTGGTTGACAAATACAGTAGTGATATATTATCATACATCAGATCCCTTGTATAATAAAATGCCTATACACCACGGCATCAACCACAGTCACTTATAAGCAACAGCGATAGAAACTCAACTTCTGTTCGTAACTCCGACTCAACAATATATATATATATATATATATATATATATATATATATATATATTCACTCCCATTCTCATGTACATTTCTTTCATTCTAGTGAAATATCATTCGGACATTAACATATAAACATACATGTAGACAAAAGCCACAAACAATCTATTTCCTTTATTCTCTAATGTACTGACTGATAAAACTACTTTGCTATAGAAAACAAAAAGTCGATGATACATGTTCCTTGATAATAAAAAAAGACAACCTAGGGAACGAAAGTGTTTTTTCTAGAAAAAAAAAGTAGATGAGTTATAATCAAGTATATACGAGCCATGAGAACACAAATATTGATATATATTTAAAAATCGAAGAAAGCCGTGCTTTATTTCGAGAATAATCGAATCAATATGCTATGGATTAGCCTCAACCTCTAAGTTCATAGCTTTTAATGTTGACTGAAATGAGTGTCAAAACAATGTTCTTTCTATACGATAATACGAAAAGGGACTAGTTGTCGATGTGAGTGTAGATTGCGAAAGAGAATAACGGCAATACTAGTGATGGTGACTGAAAATGAAACATAAAATTTTATTCATTCTATTTCAATGGCCTCCTATTTCTATTGAAAGATATAAAAAGACGGCATTCAGTGAATTGATTAAAGCTACAAACAAACACTGTTAAATTCCAAACACAAAGGGTTAACATTTTAGTCGACTTGCAACAAGACTTGAGGGTCCCTGATTCAATCCCCGATAGGATTGTAAGTAAAAATTGCTAGGAAACTGCAACTAGGACAACACAGTTGTCTGGTTATTCTTGATTTTTAACAGTTATCCGTATAATAGTAACAGGCGATCAAAATTATTCAAAAATTATGAGCAATATGTTTCATTTGATCGATTTAAACACCTGAAACAGCGTTTCCTGAGCCGTATATGTGTATGTGGAAAAGATTGAAATTCGAATATATAAATTAAGTTGAATGGGAATTATCTACAATGAATATTTAAGGAACTCACATCGTTAAGGAAGGTTGTTATTTGGAATCTATCACAAGGCTAATTTTGGATGCTATCAAATAAAGTCGTTACCTGATCAAGAAAACAAGTATATATGAATAATAAGGGATTAATGTTGTTAGTCGGTTAGTGAGATACTCAACATGAAAGATGAAATTAGTGTTTATGAAAACTGAACTAGGCCTAAATCTGATTAGGTTGTACTTGATATTATAGAAGGGTAGGACCATTGAAGAAAAATGTGCAGCTTCCACAAACATTTTGTTGCTGCCTAGTTTAAATATTTCGTAGATCAAGCTAGACAGTTTTCTAATAACTTGATGCTTTTATGATTAGAATTAAAAGAATGGTTCAGTGATGAAAACAATTAACTATCCGACTATAATTTTAAAATCTAATGCACTCTATTAAATTCTAAAGAGATCTGAACATGACTACCGAATCACCATGATTAGAGGCTGTTTCATGGTTTATTTTTATTCGTTCTAGAATGATTTAGTATTCATAAGTAATTGTGAATTAAACTAAAATGTCATTAATTTTTTTCAGGCATGAATAATTAGGTTGTGTAATAGATACTGATACGTGAAAACTATTGTATTCTGACCCTGTAACTAATCTCGGTAATTGTATAGTTCATATGTGTGAACATAGATAAACGACAATTAGAAATTCTTGTGATTATTATCACTGACTGTTATGATTTCAAACTAAAGGACAAGGAAAAGAATTAACGACAAATTGCATGTGTGAGGCTAAGTTCATGAAAGTCGAAAATTCGGAAGTGATATGAAGTCTACTCAGAATCACCTGCTAACAACTAATATCAATGTTCGGTCAACTTATCAAGACAAGACAAAAAACCGTACACTAATTTACCACTGAAAAACAATCAATGTTATACTTGAGTACACCTGAGTGCTGATTGGTTTCTATCTGTCAACATAAAATGTAGCTACTATTTTAAGTGACTCAATATAATATGTACCGAGATATGATATCAAGTTCAGGGCTTCCCACTAACTGTCGACAAACAACCTTACAAAGCAAACACAGAGAGTGATTAAACAGCCCCTCAAAGTATGAATATAGTAAGCGCCTTTGAACTA